AACATAAATTATTCAGTAGCAATTACACAAGAATATCCAGTAATGTCCCTGCCTACAATTAAACACATTCCCTTACCGAAAATCGGGGCATGGCAACAACAAGGTTGGCATAGCAGACATACTTCTCATGATGAAGTATTACAAGGAAAACGAAGACTCCCTCTTTGACTTAGCAGATGTAAGCTTTTTCCATACAGCTCTAGGTTTAATGCTGTTGCTCGCTGTCATGTTTTTTGGGGAGTTTTTGTTACATGAAATGTCTTGGTCCTTTTTCTGTTAGGAAACATCTGGCAGGAAACATCTAACAGGATGTCTCTTGGGGCAGAGGGCAACCTGCCAATGACGCCAAGGCTTGTTATGCTTGGTAAAAAAGTCATTTATGAATCAGAGCTGATATCCAGCAAAGTAACCATCAAATTTCACATTACATATTACTGATCAACATGGTAGTCTAGCTACACCAACAGCAGAAGTACTGAATTCAATACTGTAAAGTTTAACAGCAGCACAAACTATAAACTCCAAAATAACCATACAGCTGATGCAACTCTGGTAATTTAATTGGGCTGACTCTTTGTTAGGTGTGTTTAATGTGCAGAATAATTCCCAATCATGTACAATCATAATATGTTAAAACGGACTTATGTACATAAGGCCATTAATAATTAACTGTACATAGCTATTTGCTTTACGATTATCTAGACAGTGTGAAGAAGTGAAGTATTGGAGTTATTTTATGTTGCATAATGACAATGTTGTCCCTATAAATTTAAGGACAAAGTTCAATGACTGCCACCTGCTGGATGGTGGGTGCAGAGGGGCGTGTAATTGTTGAGCTGGACAAAGAGAACACCTTTGCTGATGCGATGTCAGTCTTCTTTGGTTCATTCTATGTATTGAACCTGGAATACCAGGAGTCAACGTGTGCAATATTGGAACTAATTCAGAGGTATGTTTGAACAGTTAGCTAATAGTGATAGATGATGAATAAATAATCTCTGAGTAACTCATTATTTCACATCACAACTCAATGTTACTGTGTGTTACTATTTATTATGGCACGCTTTAAGGTTTTTTGTAAGGATTAACCCTGAAGACGGAACAAAATGTACCTCCAACAATGAAGACAAGCTCTCTCATCATCTTACAAGAAGCTGTCTCTGTCCAATAGGTTTTTTGAGTGCAACAGTTTTTTTTTCCTTCTTTTACCCGTTGGTTAAAAATGATTTCAGCTACTTACACTTTGTCACATGTATTGGCTCACCCTACAAATCAATGAACTCAGTCCACAAAGCAAGGTCAGGGTTCAGTGCAGGACAGTAAAGTTCCTTCACACCACACATGCTCATCCATGTCCTTGTGGACCCTGCTTTGTGCGTTAGTGATGGGTCGGTCGCGAATGAAATGGCTCTTAGAGCCGGTTCTCTGACGTGAACGATGCGAGCCGGCTCCTTATCGTGAGCCGTGGTATTTTTTTCCCCCCTTTCTCTCACCCTCTCTCTCGCACTTTTTTTCCGCTTCTCTCCGCATGCGAGCCTTGTGCTTTACGCTGGGCAGAGGGGGGAGGGGTGGTAGTTACACTCAGTAGCACAGGAACAGAGCAGGAGGGAGAGAGAGAGAAAGAGCCAGGGACTACAACGTCACATTAGAAAGGTATAGTAATCATCCACAACTATTTTCAGTTGCGGATGATAAAGGATTCAGAAAGTTTATTCATGCAGGTCTAGGGCTGCCACGATTAGTCGACTATCAAAATCGTCGACGACTGATTTAATAGTCGACGCGTCGTTTGAAGCTTTGTAAGATCCCAAAAGACGCAG